ACACACACACACACACACACACACACACACACACACACACACACACACACACACACACACACAGAGCTATTTTCCCAGCATCCCTTGAGCCTGTGCTTCCCCTCCCATTCTCTGCTTGGGGACGCAGTGAGGAGGAGCTCGCCTTTTTCCTTACCGATTATTTTTTTTTAAAATTCTATTTGAGTTTCGCTTGGAGAAAGATACAGTGGGAGCTGCACACCTGGCACCTTGCCACAGCGTGCTGTCAACGGCTGTGACACCTGTGTGCATGCGTCTGTGTGCGCGCACTGGAGGGGGGGAGGGGGCGTTTCAACGAGCTTTAACAGCAGCACTCCAGTGGGGAAGAACCTATTATTAAGGTTTTACACTTAAAAAGGTGAGACCACACACCCTATTCACTGTCTGGAATTCATATTTTAACACATTTTCAGATTCACACAAAAAACAACAACCACCACCTATATCCAGCCATCTCCGTCAGCATAAGACGAGCATTATGGGTAAAATAGGTACGGGGGCACATTAATGCAGCTTTATTGGCGCAGTTTAGTTTGTTAGCTATGGGATATTTTATTCATATATCTCCTAATACTGATATGTCAGTAATAATCCAGTGCTTCATTATCCCATTATATAAGCTGTTTTAGCTTAATTGGAGCGGTTTATCTCTGAAGAGTAAACAGTAAAGGTGTTGCTGGTTTTTAAGCAAAAGAGCAGTTTGGTTTGCACATTGTAACTTGTGTAAGTAGCAAATCGAAAACGCTGATCAACGTTAATCAGCAAACACTCGACCTCTAACAGGCGTTTAGCTTGATGTTTTTAAAAGACGTGCTGGCAGGGTTCACTCCTAAAATAAAAAGGATGCTGGATTTATTCACAGAAGGCGTCTCTGCACTTTTAAAATGGTGGCACGCATGGAGTGAAATATGCGAGGTGGAATATCGCCTCTCGGTGCCATACTGTTACCTGGCTCTTATATAATATGTACACGTTCTTTGTTTCGTTTGCTAATCTTAGAGCCAGGCGCAGTAATGAGGTATATCTATGCAGTACTTGCTCTGACATGGTCTAACACTGTGTCATATGCAGGGGTAGAACTTAAGAATATTTGCTACTGGCCATCTAAGCTAGTTCAGTAAAAATGTAGTCCAACATTGAATTTTCTTTACTAGCCAGTGGGCTTGTGTTCGGTTTTCTGTACACTCGCCTTCCGTCTAAATTATTAACTGCAGGCGAGTGGCCGAGCTTAATTTTCAGACCTCTTCATACATTTCAAGCCTACAAAGGTTACGCCTCATTTCTGTGAGCTACGTATAAAGCAGCGAAAACATTTTCTGCTCTATAAGATTTCCCCTTCAACATTTTGCCCAGAAAATATTTGACAAATAAGAATTACCAGTGTAAGGTTTAGTTTTTTAGATGAGCAATGAATTCTTTATTCGGGATGATTATTGGATTGGATTATTATTACTTTTTGATATAGATATCACCAAGTTTTGTAAAAGGTTATATTTGAGTTGCAAATCCAATGACAAAATCAGCCACCATCGGAATTTATCCCAGTATTTGTGCTGCACGTTGATGAGCGTCAGCAGTCACTGATATGACCTCAGGGACGTCACTAGCAGACGGGACCTGCTGAATTCCCACGTAGCCAGGCCACTCTGCTTTCTGCTGCCAAACGGAAAGCAATGACGTAGCTTTGATCAATGGCGGCACCTAGCTGAGAATGCCGAATTCGTGGGCCCGGGGCTCAATGTTAAGCGCCTTTGCACCGTGACAAGATCTTGTGTAAATCCCTGCTGCATGTTAACCATTCACACTGTCTCATTTCAAGGTGATGAAAAGACGAAACTCATACAGGAAGTGGCAGCTATGAAGTGCACATGCATTTTCAGACATAAAACAACACAAGGCAACATATTATTAGGACAACTACCAGATAATGCTGGCACGCAAAGACATTGACATGTATTTGAAAATTCACACAACTTGGAAAGAAACATATCATTTGATAAAATAGCAAGACATGAAAATGTAATAAGCATTATCAAATTCTGAAAATTTGTATTTTAAAGATGGAACGCATCCACTGTTAATGGTCTAGGATAAACACTGTCGGAGGGAAAACAGTTTCACTTTCTGATTGTATCCTTGCCAAAAAAAAGTTAACTATTCAACTCTACCTGAAAATATCTTGTATTTTATAAATGATTATTACCTGTTCCTTTGTTTTTGTCCACATAACAGTACTTCAGCTCATATGATCTCAAGACATCATGGACCTCCTGTTGGAAGAAGAGATTAAGAAAAATTATCAAGATCTGCATGTCAGCGTAGTTGTGATTAATAATAAATGTTTATTTTACACTATAAAAGAGAAAACACACACACTAAAAGAAGATATATTTTCTATGTTTTTTCAAACTGGTATAGCATTATCATATATTCAGGTTTAAGGTTTTATTTTAAACACGCACAGAAAAATCTGTCAGTCATAACGTTAAACAAAAAAAAAACTAGCATGAAGATTTAGGAATTTCTCAGACAACCCGAGTTTTCATGCAAAAAGTTCATTAAATCTGACATTAATACCCTTCCAGTCTTCCAAGCTTACACGAACTGAATAAACTACACATCCACACCCAACTGACACACCCAGGCACTTGATCCATTAGGTCACCTGGACATTGATTATGAACAATACCATTGAACCAAATATTTAATCATGACAAAGCATTATGGCACTGCTAAAGCACAAGAAACTTCCCACTTGTTTTACCTCAAGAAAACAAAAGCTGGAACCAAGAGGTACATTTCAGTTCCTTTTTTAAATACATGTGTTTCTGGCAACTTATTCAACAAACAAAAAACCAGGAACTTCAAACAATGCAAAAGCCCAGCACCAGCATTAAAAGATTCATTATTGGTTTGATATTAGGTTTATTCTACCAGTTTTTTGCAAACAGTCTAAAATTTTAATCTGTCTCAATTTTTTTCCCCAACATGAAGCATCTGAAACAGCTGCAGCAGCCATCAACATCAGCATAGGGGAAATGTAATTCCTGCTTTTCGATGAACATTTTCGAAGCCTGACAGACCGATCAAGTTTAATAAGACATTCCCTAGGACTGACAGCATTGACAAACCGGAAAGAAACCCCTCAAGTTAAATGCTAAGCAGCAGAATTATGATGATGATGGTGCAGACTTGTATTGCTGTAGTCTTGCTTTCTGGTAACACAAAGGGCAGACACTCCTTTGCTGTGCCAACCTGGTGTGGACAAGATCTTTTACTGCAGACAGTGAGGAGGAGACCCAGTACTCTTGCCAGTAGCCCAGTACACTTGAGTACGACAGAGCAGTTCTTCATCAAAAGGTCACAACAGGGCAAAAGGAACACCGTGATTCGAGGCAACGTCTGTAGGAAGAGGTGGAAACCGTCTGCACATGCCCCAAGGGCATGTGTGTCTGCAGTCTGAGGCTGTCAGCGGTGCTTCTCAACACAGTGCGTCGACAGGTTTACTGAACACCAACGATTATGCCTAACTGTTGAGATGAGGTGGGCTTTTCCAAGCATAACAAAGACAGTTCTGAAGGACGAGATCAGCGAACATCTGCTGTTGACAGACAGAGCATGACGCACACACACAATCACCATCAGGACAGGAGGCTGTCAGAACAATCACATTAACTTACAACATGCGCTCTATATAAATGACTCAGCTAGCCTCTGTGTCCATGGTCAGAGTTTTCAACTTCTAATGAGGTTTACCTGCAGCTAAGGGGCCCTAAATAATTAATCTGTTAAACTGATCACCAGTCTCAAATGGGAAGGTGCTCACCTCCTTATGGCACACCTCTCAGTATTCCATTATTTTTAGATCATTTATACACTACTCTCACCCAGGAAATGATAGGAAAGCCATCCCAAGACTGAAACAGCCTCTAAAATGACTGTATACAGCCATATTAGGCAGGGGAGGTCACACCGACTGCTCGATCAAATGGTATAGGAACCATATTTTACCTCATCAATTTTCTCATTCACATACTCGGTATCATACCACCTGTAAAACAGGACTGGAGTATCTATGCATGCAAAGTTAGTACAGCACAAAGGAAAAGTTGAGATAACTTTAGCCATCAGCTTTGAGAATCAGCCAAGCCTAAACAGACTATGTTTTTGCTCTTTTCCCATGCTAACAATTGGAACCGAATTATTTCCACTATGGCCCCGTTCATTTCATGCGAAAACCAGACCTCCAGTCTAATTAACGGGGTTAACCAGTCAGCTCATCCTAAAACGCCCCGTTTTTTTTGCAGATTTAACAGTGGACAGCGCTCCAAAAAAACGCTCCCTATCTAGACAGGCACTGCAGTAAAAAAAAAAAAAAAAACAACACCGGCGTACGTTAAACCCCTGAATCGTGTCGTGTCCATTTTAGGCGTTTATTAAGCGAGTCACCGGCTAATCGCCATGTTGTATCAACCCATAGAGCGCAGGGTCATTCGCGTCTGTCATGCTGACGGGAAGACGCACCTGGCAAACTATACGCTTTAGTTCTGTAACCGAACGAGAAAAAGACAAGTATCACGAACTTTGTACGAAACCATTCACGATTACCGGGGTAACCGCATTTATAAAGATATCAATAATTAAAAATATATCATAAAGCATAGAATGACAACGTAACGTATTAACCCAGCAGGATATTAATGAAGGGGAAAAGTCACCAATAATTCGTATAGTCATTTTGTCCGCTCTTTCAGTGTAGGGGGAGTGCGGCTCGAATATCATCTAGGCGGAGAGACGCCGGCGGAGCGCAGATCAAAGCGAGCAGCCGGCGCGTGCAGCCGCGAGCTGCGGACGTCAGTGCGTGTCCAGCCCGTCCGCGCCGCACTAGCCGGCTGCACTCAGGGGATGCGCAATGAGAGAAGTTTGCTCGAACTACGTTCTCAACTTAAGAAATGCATCTCTTAACAGGGAAGAAACTTCCTACACATACAAGAAACTTTCAAATAAAGATACTCACTCGGGATTTATTGAAGTTATAGCCCCTACCAACATTCATTTTAGTGGTGCACTTTAACACCTTAAACCAGTCGTGTAGTTGCTGAATGACTCACCTGACTAGTTGTGTCTTGAGGTAGGTTCTTGATCAAGATTTTTCTCCTGTTGCTTAGCTCCCTGTGAGTTTTTTCCAGCCTTCTGTTGATTTCCTCTGGCGGTAGATGGTGCAGCGATCGCAGGGTAAGTCCCTCGGATGCCGTGGATTCATCCTGTCGACTCTCGGCAGGGCTGTCGGAGTTTCGAAGCAGTGCATTTTCCTGCATTAACGCATGCACGCTCGGCGGCTGGATGGAGGAAGTCGCCGCCATTTTGAAAAAGCTCGATGGCAAGTAAGTGGAAGTAGCGGAGGGTCTCGTCCGTTTTACAGTCGTTCAATCTACTCCGGCGGGTGGAAAGGTATAAGCTTGCAAGCATCACGGTGTAACTGAAACAATCGTGTGCGCTGAAGGACTGGCGACCCCCATCGTTCAGAGCAGGAATAGCGGCCCAAGACCATCCCAACCTGCTTAACCACAAATCACATTTATTTTCTTCTCTAAATAAGGGGGACATGGAATTTTTTTTCGATTAGGACATTAGCTAAGGACGTATTAAATAACTGCGACTGTAAGTGTATTTTATATATATATATATCCTTTAGAATTCGCACGTTGACTATCTGTTGACTGCAGATTCAGAATAAAATGATTTCCGAGTCTAACACCTCGCCCAAGTACAGTCTTGCTTTAGCGGTTCTGCAAATGCATTTATCGCGAAATTCAACTGCAAATCACGTTAAGAACGACCACTTACAAAGACCTCTTTTCACTCCTCATAGTGGTTTCACATACAATCCCTATTATAACATGCTCCGTACGGCATCTCCTTCAGAATGGCAGTTCCTAGGTTATATAATCTATATTTCCGTAGTGCTAAATGTATATCATTGCTCACAAACCTTTACTTCACATTAGGATAAAATTTCGAGTCCTTTACACAGGTTAATGTTATAATGTGCACACTGAGGAAGGCAACTCGCCGACACACATCTCTGTTGTGTGCAAACGTAGAATAAATCTGTGCAGCAAAGTGCGGCCACTTTTTAACTTGATCGACTTCTTTATTGTAGTCCAGCACTCTGACAACTATACAACTAGGAGTGAAGCCCGTTCTTCAGTACCATCTTAGCAGACCCCCCACTGAAGGGCCCCCATAGAAATGGTAGTTCCAGAAAGAGAATGGTTTGCATTCAGTTGTTGACACTTGCTGCTGAAAGCTCAGGGAAAGCAGCCCACCGAGTTCTCGGGGTGTGCGTTTATGTAAACATATTGTAAGGACCTTTAACCTCTGCCTGCACTCCTCCATAAGAGAGCAGTGTGGGAGCCTAGGAACTCTAAATTCGCACAACTGTTAATTCAGCTTCAGCCACTACTGTATTTCCAGAAGTTGTTTCTTGTTTAAACATTGTTTTTCCCCAAATATAAGCATTAATATTCCAAGTGGAACTACTGGCTCCCTGGACAGGGATGTGTGACTATCATGCTGAATGAGCAGTAAACTGGCAAATGTGTGCATGCAGGAAGTGTAGAAAATAACTGAGCAACACAATAAGTGCTGATCAGTATGTGTGAATTGATTCTGTGCTGCTGTTTAGCAAAGGATGGTACCTACATTTTTATTTATCCCCCCATGTAAGTTGTTGTCCAATTATAACACTTAGCAGCCAACACAAGAATCTCTAATTTTGTTTACCGTCATAATTCATTAATTTCCCAGAAACACTGTGTGTTTGTGTGATGCTTTTGGTTCCTGGTAACCAGATTCCTACTCCCAAAACAACAAGCTATGTTGCTTACATAGACTCTAGAGCAGTGTTTCCCAGTCCGGACCTCAATATCCCGGAGAAAATCCTTGATTTTGCTCCCTACGGAGCATGTTATAATAGGGATTGTATGTGAAACCACTATGAGGAGTGAAAAGAGGTCTTTGTAAGTGGTCGTTCTTAACATGAGGGAGCAAAAACATGGACCACTCGTGGGTCCCCAGGAACCGGGTTGGGAAACGCGGCTCAAGAGAGAATGAAGCTTCAGCAGACAGACAAACACACAGGCAAGAGAATCCAAATGGCAGAATGATGGTAGGAAACCACAGAACCTACAACAAAGCCACACGATTAAGGCACAAAACACCAGCTCCGCACACAACTGAAATCGAATCCATGACCCTAGAGGGTTGAGGTCACTGCTGTGCAATGGAGCCACTCTGTCACTATGCCTTGACAACTGTCCATTTAAAAAAAACAACAGCTACCTCTTAGCTGGCCTGGGATGCATCTGGCGACTGCATGTGGGTATGCACACGCCAGAAACAGCGAGTTAAAATGATACAAACAGCTGCAATGCAACCTGGGTACAGTCATTTCAAAATTCAAGTATGCACAAGGGACCAATTAAAAAAGGGAAATCAGTGGAATACAGACAGACAAGACAATGCATTCCAAGCCAAGGGGAATATTGCAGATTACAAATTTAATTTCTTTTATTTCCACTGGAAGAAAGAACTTTACACATTTTTTTCCCAGTACAATGTAATTTAGTGTTTAACATACACTAGGTGTTCTTTGCTCGCAACAGTGAATAATACTGTTAATATTCTCCATTAAAACCATAGATTGGCAGTGCTTAAAAAATAAAAACATAGGTTGCCTCAACGCCAGAAAGGACAAAGAGGATTCCGGCAAACTGGAGCACTGACAAAATCATTATCCTGTACTTAGTGGTGGTAGAACGTTCCATCGGTGGGATTAAGTGATGCATTACTGGATGAAAATCCTCTTCGTGTGGCAGCCGGAGCTGCTTCTGTTACGTGCCTTTCAGGAACCTTTCTGCAAACGTCAGGCTAAAAATAGCCACGTTTTTTTTTGTACCCGATACCTTTGGATGAATCCAAGCTGGATGGAGACGTCAACCTCTTTAAAACGGGACTGTTGCGGTTCACTGAGGGGAATAGAGGAAGGCTGCATCGACCTCGACCCGGCTGCCCCGGCACTTTATGGAACGCCGAAACTGGAGCACGCAACAGACAACTCCAAGTTCAACATGAGCCCAAGGACACGGAGGGAAACCCATAAAACAGTCCAGCTGGACGGCACTGGAGCATTCCGCAAGAACATCTCCAGTTCCAGGACCATCAGCTGCTTCTACACAAATTTTTCACCTTCATGTTCCATACATAAAAAATGTACAGTTAAAATGGAAAATCTCCAAGTACAATAAAGAGATGGGGGGGGGGGAAATAACCACAGTAACGGTCTCTGCCGTTTTCAATGTCTTTCCAAATTGCCATTAGGCAGCACTGTGCTAAATGAAAATGCAGACGGTATTTTTTCAGTTCTGTTAAATAAATAGTAAAAAAATAACCATTTTTATCCTCACCTAAAATCTGAGGAGTACGGTTCACACGGATCTCTTGTGGCCGTGATGTCCACGAAGCGACTGGCCTCGTCTAACATTTATTTTACTCGTACCGTGCTGTAAAATATCCATCTGCGCTTTGTTCAGTCATCTTTATCAACAGCAAAATGGCCGCCATTTGGTTCCATGGGCCCCGAAGGGTCTGAATGACAGAGTAGCTTAATGGAAGGAAGGGGGCGCCCTTTCGCAGATCAGCACCCAGCATCCACGCTGTGCACGGTGACTGCGGCCTGCAGGCGGTGCAGGTGGTGCAGTGGAAGATGCGCCGGCTGCCGGTACGGATGGAATTTGTAGCTCAGCAGTGCTGCCGTCTGGGGGGGCGTGTCGGGCTCCAGGTCCTCGTCATGGTTACCCACGTCCACGCCTGCCGACAGAGGGTCGTTGTTGCCGGGGGGATTCTCGCTGTCTTCCTGAGGACTCATAGTACTGTAGCCTAAATGTGTATGAACACGACCATATTTGGTTAAAAATTTCCTCCGGCATCATGTGACCAGTGACTATGTTTGTGAGGTTAAAAGGTTACATTCACAATAAGTTTCTTTCGTGACTTCCCGAACCTGTCAAGTTTTATCCACAGAAAACTGACATCTACAAGGACACACACCGTATCTGTCAGGGAGACAAACAGGCTGGATACTTCACAGCCAAACAAAAAGTTCTGATGAAACCACTGAAAGCCTCCAAAGGGACTGAGAGATGAGATGTATTGAGACATAGCTTGAAAACATCAAAAATAAGAGGAAAAACAGGGTCCCTGCAGAATTAATTGCCAGCAAAGATGAAGGAGCACTCTTAAATCCTAATATTGCACACATCTCACTCCAACACAGCCTTAACCCTAATAGCTAAAAACTAGGAGTACAGGAAAGTGTCCATTGTGGCCCCATTAGATCTGACCTCTCAATCATCCCCTATATCTAACTGGTGAATTCTCTCCTGCCCCTTCACCACCTTACCTACTGTGTGGTGAGTGTACTGGTGCAAAATGGCTGCTGTCACATCATCCAGGTGGGGGCTACATAGTGGGGGTGGCTGAAGTGGCCCCCCAATGTGGTCATTCATACACAGCGTGCTCTCGGGAAGGGGGACAACTGTGCTGCATTCCTGAGCTTAACCACAGGGTTTTTCACCTGGCAAACCTCACACGTGTAAACTACGTTTTCCTAAAATGCAGAAGGCGGCATCTTAAGAGGACTGCACGCGTTTTCCTTACCGTGGTCACTCTCTGTCCCGGAGCGGCCCCAGTACCGCCGCCTCCGCTCGGGGCTGTGTGCCCGTCTCTCCATGACCGCCGCGATGAAGCGCGTGTTGCTGACTGGAGGGGGCAGACAACATCTGCGTCACGACAAACCGCGGGCAGCGGGACCAAAGGTCTCCGATCACACTCAGCATGCTATGAATGCGGGGAGACCCATCTTTGACCCTCTGTGAGCTCAACGCTTTTTCAAGGTGCTTCAAAATACTCAAAGTGCGTCAAGCACTTCAGACAAGACAGAATAATCAGATACCGTCCGGCCTAAGAGCTAAAAGGCACTGGAAATAAAAACTGCCCTCAATTTGATTGAGAAACAAAATCTAATCTTGTCTGGCAGGCTTTCTGCCTCTGCCACACGCCTCATTCTCTTCACTGTATCCTAAGATGCACAGAAAGGGGAGGTTTACACGCAAAAATAAAAGTTGTCCTCACTTATTCCGCGGTCTTCGTGGCTGTCCTCTTCTCGCTCGTTGTCAAGGTTGGACATCCTCACGGACATCTCTGTAGGACAAGAGACAAATATGTGTGCGCCGTGCCAAACCAAATGGGGCCAAATGAAAGCATGTCAAGTTATAATGCTAAAGGAGCTGTTTTTTCCTTCCCCCCAGGTGGGGGGTGGAGGAGGGGGGGGTGCATGACGGATGAATTCTTCTCATGTGCAGGGATGAGAGGCATGTTTTTGAAACGGATTCCTGGCCGCCCCTACATGGACAGCGCAACAGCATCGATACAGTATTAACTAGAAAGGCGTGACAGGGAGACTATCTGTAACAATCTCTGTAATTTCTCGAGTCTGACCTAATAATCTGTGCTCCTCGTCTCATTAGTAGAGACTCCCCGGACCTCGTCTGGGGGAGGGCAGCCTCTTCACAGAAGCTTCAGTTAATTTACTCATCTCCACTGGCGGCCCCTTGCACGGAGGCTGACGACCCAGAATGCACGGCTGCCCTACATGTCAGGCCCCGGACGCCTCCGTGAGCATCGCTGTCGAAAGACACCGCGACAGGTCCTGCCAGCCTTTGTC